AACGTGCTTCATGCATCATCTCTTTGATTTTCTCTTTTGCTTTCGCCATTTGTGATTCTTCTTTCACTACTTTTGCCTTCAAATAACCGAAATGATTTGTACTTTATTCAATTTCTGAACTCAATTTTCTTCAATATCATCGCAATATGACTGACTGCCGATTTCTGTCTGCTTGAGATGAACGTTCAAGAAGCAAATTGATTATGTGACATTCACACAAACGTATTCACAGTTCAGTGAATCAGTTTTGCAATTGGACATTTCAGTTTCATTTAAAGATATATAGACATTAGAATGAATAATTGCTTTTTGCAATCTATCGCAANTTTGAATGAAATCGCAATCTTGTTTTGACATTCGAATGAAACATACAACTTTAACAGCCACCGATAATTTTCTACCATTCACAAGCGCTTCACCTGCACGAACCTCACCATATTGCCCCTCACCAAGTAAATCATTTAATTTTATATCTTCATGCAAAAATTCCCATGATTTCCTTTTAATTGAACGAATTAATACAGATGATTTGACCTGAAACACTCATCCTGATTGATCATTCATTGATTGATCGTAGAGGTTTATGAAGGAAGTAACGAATCGAATGAGAACAAGTCATTCATTATGAATGTTCAAGTGCGAAGGTCTTTCACCACTTTTGCGATGGTCTCAGCAATTGAGTTGACTTTGCGATGGCCAGATTGAATGAATAGTGAAATACTGAAATGAACCTCAGGATTAAGTGGCCGTCCTGATGCCATATAATTATCGATAAGTTCTCGCACTGATGAATAACACTCATCTTCAATCGCACGCCATTCCAGCGAACCGTCTTCTTTCATACGTCTTCTTATTACAATATGTCGAATCTTCAGTTCACAATGAGTCTTATAAAATCGAATGCAACAATCTGATGGCATCAATGGAATCTAATGGAAACAAAAATCTAATCATAGCACGTCGCATCCAATCCCGTTTAAAGCACTTGATAGTCTACTCAATGAAGGAAATGAACAAATGAACTTATATTCATGGCTGATTATGATACAACAGTAACGACGATGCTAAACTGCTGACATTGTAAAACAATATTCAATGAAGTATTGAATAATCGTCATACCGTAACCGGATCATCTTCGTTAGGTTTGACTCTTACTGAAACGACAATTTCTCGTGGATCAGTCGGCCTCGGTTGCGTTGCTCGGATTATGAAATCACCAACCTGAATTGAATAAACCATTCATAGGAAATCAAACGATTTTGTTATCCGATCAATTACGTTAAACGCTTGACGAAAAATAACGTTTGTAGGCAAGCATTTTGTTGAACCGACACTAGAACTGCTAAAATTACGCCGAAATAGCGGCATTTTGCTAAGATGCTAATGGCGATTATGAATAACCTTTTCAAGAATGCATGCGATATCCTCTCTCGGTAAAAGCCCATGATAATAGTCCTCATCCTCCACGTATTTTGCCACATCATCAGCTTTCGCACTATCTGAAAAGTGGTCGTTTAATGTCACTGACTTCAATGTCAGAAACGATCTCATTTGAGAAATATTCCCTTCGATTGGTCATTTTCATTCGACTCACCAGCTGGCTCCTTTTCCGGTTCTTTTTTCGATTCCGCGCCT